AAAATATCGTCTTGCGGGTCACAAATGGCTTGCGGGCCGCGAGTTTGAGACCCCTATTTTAGATGTTTATTTATTAATATTCACGATTATCTCATTTTTTATAAAAAGAATGTAAATATTTATACTTTCCCTCATCATTTTCGATGTATGCAGATGTATGCGAGATCGAATTTCAAAATAACTTAATATTACATTTTCGGTTTCGGCTTCGGCTTCGGTTTCGGCCGAAATTCATTTTTAATATTCGGCCCTTTTTCGGTTTCGGCCGAAAATCATTTTTAAACCTTCGGCCTTTTTTCGGTTTCGGCCGAAAGTCATTTTAAACTTTCGGCCAATTTTCGGCTTCGGCCGAAATCAGAAAATCACTTTCGGTCGGTCTCTAATAGGTAACAGTGATATTTACCAGCCACAGTGGTGATGACTAGTCAAATAGATATATTCTGTGTCACAAAGAAAGTATTGACACATAGATCGTTTCCACGCCACGGTAATGGAGACTTGTCACGTGGCCGGTCTCTATGTCACAGTGGTAAGCAATCAGATGTCGAAGGAAAAAAACTGTTAAAAAAAGAAAAAAAAGGTCGTCCAGTTGATCTGGAGACCCAGTTGTGAATGTATCTGACACCGGGTTGATTCAAGTGAAAGGAATGTCCTCCCCGTGTGCCGGCCCCCGTACGGTGAAGATGGACTTACGCGGCGACAGACATCGTCACTCGGGGAGTCAGGGCTCGTGGGATTGCGTAGATATTAAACATTGTTTAAAGGCACGTTGTTGAGCCTTTTCGTTTACAATAAGCGGATTTGCATTACAACAACAGTAACAACAAAAAATTGTAGTTTGTTGTTCTTTAAATAGGTAGAAGAAATCAGAAATACAAAGATGCTCATATATTTTTTTTCAAAATATTTTATCGATATTAAAATGACATAATACTAGTAAAAATTCCGTTCACTCCCGTCATGTACATCCAGCCATTCTTCTTGTGCAACAAGGCATTCCATGGAGCAATAACACAATCATTTTCATGCAGCGTCAAGGGGATTCCTGGCTCGTCTACAGCCGATAACATAACTCCTCTAATAAATTGATGCTCTTTTGATTTTTGATATAATTTAAAGCTGTGAAAAACAGGGAAACGTAAGCCAGACTTGAAGATCTAGCACTCATTTAACCAGGGGCGTCTACACAGCGGGGATGGGGAGAGATAGACGTCCCTGCATTGAACAATCTGATAAACCTTACCTTCTTAATCCAAACCAAAAAAAAAAAAAAATTTTTAAATAATGTGAGTGTTTTACTTACTCTAAATGTTAAAGTCACCCTTCAATATTTTTTTTTCTCACAAATATATTAGGTTTTATAACGACTTAAAATCGGTTTACTTTCTCTATTTGGTAAGAAAGAAAACTGCAACGACATTGACAACAACGTCTTGTCAGCCATAGGGGCATCTTGGTGTCGTGGTTAGTTCTCAACACGACACAGGGGGCTACTGAACGTGGCGGCCTCGATGGCTGACAGAACTTTACGTTGCGGGTTGTGATTGCAGGCGTTCACCAGCGTGAAGAACTTCCTGAGGGCGAAGTCGTTGGTTGTGATGTCCAGCCCGGGGCAGAGGGAGAGGAGTGTGTCCACCGCCGCCTCGTAGCAGTCCCAGTCCTCAATCTCCTCGTGTTGCCTCAGAACCAGGCTGTACACTTGATTCTCGGGAACATCGCTAGTAGAGTTGGGAACACAAATACTTATGGTTAGCAATGTATTGGGCGAGAGGAGGAGGGGGCACGTGGATTAATGTAATACGTAATAAACACTTTATCTAAGACAGCGGTTCTCAACCTGTGGGTTGCGACCCCTTAGGGGGTCGTACGACCCTTTCCCAAGGGTCACCTAAGACTATCGGAAAACACATGTCCTCTAGAGTTATGAAGCAGCAACGAAAATAATTTTGTGGCTGGGGATCGCCACAACATGAGGAACTGTATTAAAGGGTCGCGACATTAAAAAGGTTGAGAAGCACTGATCTAAGACATTGCCAAGTAGCATCATTTGAGATGGGTGAGATGAGCTAATGATAATAATGGCTAGGATGCGAGCTGCCTGTTCTCACATTATAAAACCAGGCCCATCACATAAAATAAACTCAACCCAATTCGAATGTTGGCCGATATCGCATTCCGACGGACTTAACCCAGATGACTTAATGATGTTACATTTGTTAACAAGTGTGCCAAAATTTAATATAAGGAAAAAGTTTTAGTTCAATAGCTCTTCCATATTTCCCCTCTACTTTATTCAAAGTTAACATGGCTGATGAACTGGCAAGGTGATGTTAAAATTAGAAATGGGGCTTTGTGGATAATTTGCAATTTAATGCAAACAGAATTTTTTTTTTTTTACTTAGGTAAGAAGTGTTTTAAATATTTGTATTAGTGATAGTGTATCTTTGTTACCATTGCAAGTCAACAGTGTCAGCCCGTATTAGTGGGTCAGTCAATGTTTGCCTGTGTTAGTGGGACAGTCTATGTCAGCCTGTGTAAGTGGGTCAAACAATGTCAGCCTGTGTTAGTGGGTCAGTCAATGTCAATCAGTGTTAGTGGGTCAGTCAATGTTTTCTGTTTTAAGTATTTCACCAAATTACTACAGTCTTGATGATTTCCATGCAGCTCACCACAGCTCGATAAAGTCATTCACCTGTAAACTGTTTTTATGATGTTCCAGATGAGCTGGTGGGTCTGCGACATGAGCGTCTTCAGCTTGGTCAGTCTGGTCTCGAGTTCGGACCTCTCCAGGGAGTTAAAGGCTGCCTTCTCCAGGCGCTTCTCCAAAGTTCTTAGTGTCACGAGCTCGCTGGGAACCTGGTCTGTGGGATCCATGGGTTCAACCACCTCAACGCTGGTGTTCATCTTGATGTACTGAAAAGTCAAGCGGACAAACGGTTTCGATCAGCGTCTTGGCATTAAGCGTGTTCAATAAGTACACTTTAAGCCGTCTAGAAACATTTACGTGGCTGTCCACAATTTTAAAGTATAAGAAGAAGTATCACAAATAGCTATCATTACATTTGGATCATACAGATATGGTGTGTTTTATATTTGAACTTATGCATAATTGTAGTAGGTGTATTAGAGTAAAATTTAGCAAGAGTTCGACAAAGTTATTCGTAAGTTACAAGTATTTAAATAAAGGGAACAGTTTATGTTGGGGAAATGGCAAAAACTGAACATTTTCTTCAGTCAGTTATTTGAAAAGCATGCTACCTCTTTGTCGTTGCCAAAAAATTTGTTCAGCGTAAACGTGTCAATGGATAGGTCACCATACTGTTCCACGTGACTTTGGTTGGTTTCGACCTTGACCTTCTTGTATTGTTGTTCGAAGGTCTCCTTGCTGAGATCTGCAGCATCGGTGTCCTCCATCCATTTGACACTGTAAAGATCATTGATAGAGTTAGTGTAAAGATTAGAGATAGATTTAGTGTAAAGATTAGAGATGGAGTTAATGTAAAGGTCATTGATAGAGTTAATGTAGAGTTTAGTAATAGAGTTAATCGGCAACATTGGATTATATTCACATAATTTATGTAAGAGTTAAGAAAACTTCCCTCAAACTGTAATCACCTGTAAGTATCCCCCAGGTAGGTGCTCCTGGCCTCGTCCCAGTAGCATCCCCAGCTGGACTCTGTGGGGTTGGCTGCAGTGGTGGCGTACACGTTGATGTCTTTTGGCAGCAGTTTGTTGAAGACTGACCCCGACTCGCACGCCTCCACGTAGAAGACGAGCTTGGCGAACTTCTTTTTCTGGTGCATGCTCTTCAGGGCGGTGTTCAGGGCGCGGGCTTTGAGGTAGGGCTCGGTGGGCATCCCGAGAATACCCGGGGCGCCGTGGTCAGCGAAGTTGACGAAGATGTAATCCTCAGGGCCGGACTCTATCACCTTACCGTCTTTACCTGTCAGCTGACGGACAGCTTCCTGTGTAAAGGTCAGATCGTTAATATGGTTAGAATTTTGAAAATCCCGAGGCGGGTTGATGAAAATTAATGTGTCACATATAGTGTCACCGGAAACAGTTAAACATTTCTGCGTAATTGGATCTCCGTTTGCCATCGTGTGGCAGAACACGTGTCTGCACTTGTAATTACTTGAAGGCAGTGATCCAGTGCTTTCAATTCGAAATGAAATAGGGCATTCAGTTATATTTTATTAACAAATTATGTAGTGAACTGGTGTGGCCTTCCCATTATTAAATGATCATCTAAGATTTATTATTGTTTTAAAAAGAAATGTGTCCGTTGAATTGTAATTGCCATCACATTATTGAAACTGGAAGATTTTTCTGGATGTATCCTTTAAACAGCTAATTACTTAACAAGCTAAGCAACGAAGGGTTAATTAGTGTTACGGTGTATTTGGTGTGCTTGTGGGCCCCATAGTGTGAATGATGACATCATTAAGAACATGTTCTCTGCACGTTCTTGAAGTCTCTATTCGAGAAATGTAATTATTTAACTAAGTCAAAATCAATTTGATCAATGCAAGGCATGAATTCTTCAAATCTAATGGGCTACCGGAAATTTGATCGAAAGAAATTTCGTCGACGGAAAATTGATCGACGGAAATTTGAACGAACGGCTATTCGGTCAAGAATCCTTTTTTTTTCAGTTCATACGTTAAAATTTTCTTCAAATTCGAGCAGTTTTCCGTCCGTGAAATTTCTTTCGATCAAATTTCCGGATACGGAATTCTTCAAATCAAATGAAATAAAATAACTGCTTTAAAAAAAAAAAGCAGCATTAATATTAACTTAACAATTAATTTTCTGACTCACCATGTAAGAATTTCCCAAATAAACAAGCCATTCTGCCCTAGACTCACCTTATCGCCTTGCAGCACGGCGAGGAAAGTCTTGGCATTGACGTTCCTCCCCGTGTAGTCCTTCAGCACGCCGGGGTAGACGTTGGGGCCCTTGGGTCGGTTGATGACGTTTCCCTTGACGGGGTTCTCCTTGTTGTTGGCGATGTCGTCGTACATCATCACGACGATCTGCTCGTCCGGGACCCCAGCCTTGTGCACGATCTGGTAGGCGTGGCAGATGTCCGCCTGGTGCCGGTAGTTATCGTACCCCGCGGAGCCGGCTATGAGCAGGACCCAGTTCTTCCTGACGGCCTCGCAGACGACCAGGCCGACGGCCAGGATGGAAAGGACGGCTAAAACCCTCATGGTGAACGGAAAGTGATTTAACGTGGGAGATCTTTGGTTCGAGGTTTGCGATGGCTTTTATACCCGTGTCTTCCATAAGGCCATGTGACTTTCACGACATCATTTAACAAGATTATATTATCTATAGTCATGTAGTCACGCTGTCAGTAGTGTCATATGACAAAGCATGTGACATTGCCGAAAGCTGCTGACGACCTGGGATTGTATTCACATAACGTAGATTAAATTTTGGTCGCCTCAACGAAATCTGAGTGTTGAGAGATAACGGTATCTCTAACAGCGTACTATTTCATTGATTTATATTTTAATTATCTTTTTTTTCTAATGGGAAATCCCAAGCTTGACATAAAATCCTCTCGCTGTAATTTGTGTCATGTTTGTAAATAATTGGATTGAAAAATGAAACTCAAATAAAAATCTGTATGGATAAGTTATTGGTCGAATGGGTGTGGCTAGACCCTCGACAGATGGAACATGTTTCAGCAACTGTTGCCGCTGTTTTGTAATAGGGTAAACAGATTATCTGGACAATCACGGAAAGAGTGTTTGATGAAGTCGTGTTCGGTGTTTGGTAGAACTGACAGAGATTACCCGCTCAGTTCATTCTGTATAGAGGGGACATATTCAAGCGAGCTTGACCTCATTGTATTCTATCTTCTTCAATATCTGGATTGCCTTCTGACCTTTCTGTGTTCGTCTGCAATTTTATTGTGCGTGTTTTTGCATGTGTGTGGTGTGTGTATATGTATGTGCGGTGTGTGTATGTATGTGCGATGTGTGTGTGTGTATGTGTGTGTGCAGTGTGTGTGTGTGTGTGTGGTGTGGTGTGTGTGTTTCATTTCTTTTCTTGAAATAAATGACGCCTTTACAAAGTACTCTAAGGTAAACACGTTAGCCTTACTCCCCAAAAACCATTATGATGCGTAGTTTAAAATAATAACTCATTCTCATTAACTTTGCTGTCTCTGCAAGTTGAAATAATTTCGAAATGTATTATGTACTAATGTTTTTTATGCTCATTTTAAATTTGCGACGTCATTGCAGCTCTAAATTTAGATCTAGGAAATATGTAAATAAAACGGAATCTTCGTGTGGCTGTGAGTCACGAAATCTTTGAACCATTGCATGAGGTCTGGCACTATGAAATGTGTTCAGAACATTCTGTCGGGAGTGTCTAGGTCAACGCTGTCGGGAGTGTCAAGGTCAACGTAGTCGGACTGTCTAGCTCAAAGCAGTTTGGAGTGTCTAGGTCCACGCTGCCGGGGGTGTCTAAGTCAACGCTGCCGGGAGCGTCTAGGTCAACGCAGTCAGGAATGTCTAGCTCGAAGCAGTTGGGAGTGTCTAGATCAACGCTGTCGGGAATTTCTAGGTCAAAGCAGTAAAAGGTGTGTAAGTCAACGCTGTCGGGAATGTCTACGTCAACACTTTTTCAGGAGTGTGTAGCTCAAAGCAGTCGTGATTTTTAGGTAAATCCAGCTCTCCCATACGGCCTCTCCGGCTTTATGAAAGATGTATGAAGTATCTAAAAATAGAGACATTTAAATATTTATCTAAATACATTTTAATAGCTGAATCCTTACTTTCAGAATTAATCTGCGGTGTCGAAATTAGCTGTGCTCGAAAAACACAAACAAAGATGAATATTTATAAATTAGTTTTGCACAAGATGGCCAGGATTATTAATGCGCATTGTTGTTTGCTGTTTGTTTGTTCTTTTTTTTGTTGTTGTTGTTGTTGTTGTTTTTGTTTTTTAAAACCACTTAAAACAGATCTTAACACGTCTTAAATAATAATCAGAAGTTTCCATTGAGAAACAAAAATTCCTACTAACAAGGTGTGGAGGGTTCCATCGCGCTTCTCACAAAGGATTGAAATCAAAACACGTTTGTTTCATCAATAACAATGGAATAATATCAAAACCAACATTTTGTGCATTTTCTGCCATGTTATGTTTATCGATTGATTTAACTTATTTTAAATGTAAGAATAAATGAGAATATTTAAGAGAAAAAGAAAAATTGTATAAATGCATCAGATCCTGTGAAACAAAATTAAGCTATTTCTCTAAAAAAAAAAAATCTCTCTCGGCTTACATTCTATTTACTGACCCTTGAACCTGAAGAGATCACATTGTACGGGTGACCCAATTGGTTTTATTGTTGTCATTGCGAGTGACGCATCCAATCTTGAACTGATATAGGACGTCCTTGCCTCAGATTAACTGTGGGTCAGACAAATCTATAGACAGCTGCTCTAAAGAGATATTTTAACATCGGTGTATCTGACGCTCCGAAGACCATTGGACTGATTTCAAATTAATTTCTATGAATAGCTTCCTCATGGCCGTAACTTTTGTAACTTAACAAACCAAGAATTGAAACATTTCGGATCTTGAAGATTTAAATTTCATTTGTTACATTTTCAACAGGATTTGAATTCATTTGTTAACCATGAATTCTGATCACAAATTTTTATGCGCCTTTAGAGAATTTCAGCATTACCTGTATAATGGTTTGACGACCAGTTTGAATTGTTCTGTGTGCATCATTGCTTCGTGGCTGTCATGACTGAAAAGAATGTATCGCTTAGTGGGACCAGGATATATATCGCTTAATGCAAGGGTGTCAAACTCAATCACTCGGCGGGCCAAAACTAAAATCACATGTCAGGTTGCGGGCCGAACAGGATAAACATTAAATAAAAGGAAAATTAATGTTTAAAGAAAAAAACATTTCTTTAAATGAACACAGAAAAAAGTTTTAATAATTTAAAATCATTGGCAAACCCATTTTTGTTCTTAGGCCGAGTTGTCAGAGCTGGATGTTCGACACATTTCCTTGGCTACTAAAACAAGTGAGTTCGTTTATGTTGGGAGTAACGTTCTGTGTCATTGAGATTCTCATGATGGACTGCAAGCGTTCATCAGTGAGACGACTCCTGTGTGATGTTTTGTTAATCTTCATCACAGAAAACAGTTGTTCACACAGATATGTGCTACCCAACATGCCCAAGGTTCGAGCCGCAGGTAGACGAAGCTGCGGCATCTCTTCAGTGAATGAAACGAGCGAGCTGTGCAGGCCCAACTGTGTCGTACATTGCCTTTAGTGTCCCATTACAATGCAGCTCTATTAACTCCATCTGCAAATTTACAGGTGCAGTTTCCACGTCTATGACAAATGGGTTACGAAACAGCTCCAAATTACATTTCTGTGCTTCAAAGTCACTTAAGCGGCGTGCGAACTCGGCGCGAAGTGAGCTAAGCTTTTTCAGCAAAGTGTGCATTGGGAAACCCATAGCATTGTCTTGGATATAATTGTACGCCGGTCAAGACCTCGCGGGCCTGATATAATTGTATGGCGGGCCGGATGTGGCCCGCGGGCCTTGAGTTTGACACATGTGGCTTAATGGGACCAGTGTATATATCGCTAAATGGGATTAGGGTATATATCATTTAATAGGTCTAGGGTATCCTTCTTCTTCTATATCTTAAGGGCCCACGATCAATTTATTGATCATTTTGGCTCCTATGCATGTAGATGGGATTTGCAATGTTTCTGTTACTGGTGGTGATGAGGAAATTATGAACTAGGGGTTTGAAGGCTTGGTGAGTTGAAAAGAATACAACACAGAAGATACCATAACATGAAAGGACTATATCACACGTCAATGCTGGCCTATGTCACGTAATGCTGGCCTATGTCATGTCAATGCTGGCATATGTCACGTCAATGCTGGCCTATGTCACGCTTTTGCTGAACTATGTCACGCCATTGCTGGCCTATGTGACAGCTGGAATGACTAAAGGCCTTAACTAAAACAACACAAAAAAAAAGCTTTGGAATGCCTCGGCATGCAGAATTAGCACACATGAGAAGCAGCAATTTAATGAAATTAACTTCAAATGCAGCCATATATTGTGCATATTTTATGCATATCATTGTTGGTACAGTTTATTAATTGTCTAAGGTGAATAAATGTCTATAATATTTACAAATTACTTTGAATGTATTTTATTGTAGGCCGCCCCTGGGGAATAGTTCCCCAAAAGACATCGATCTCGTTTGGTCTTACAGTGAGTTCGTAGAGTATCAAGCGAATTCTATTATTTTAAGAAAATAAATTCAAACATTTCATAAAAAAACTAGAGCTGTTACGATAAATACGATTTGAATTTCGGATTCAGTGCCCCCAGTAACACTAGAAACAGACCTAACACTGAAGGCATCAGGAGACTTGTTGTTGTTTTCTTTTGTTGACTTGTGACATCACCAACCCCCCCCCCCCAATGCGTAAAACGGCTCAAAGGCAGAACTAGACTTAGATGGACGGATGATGATTTAAGAAAAAAAATTAAAACATTTCATAAAAAAACCAGAGCTGTTACGATAAATACGATTTGAATTTCGGATTCAGTGCCCCCAGTAACACTAGAAACAGACCTAACCCTGAAGGCATCAGGAGACTTGTTGTTGTTTTCTTTTGTTGACTTGTGACATCACCAACCCCCCCCCCCCCAATGCGTAAAACGGCTCAAAGGCAGAACTAGACTTAGATGGACGGATGATGTGGAAAAAAGATCCACACCACATCAGCTCGAAATATCAATACACATTGTTGATAGCGTAAGCGTGGAAAAGAAAAGCATTAGTTAGGTCTAAGTGGAAGGAAGGGATGAGGCAGGCCAAAGACCTTCATGGGCCTCACAGCGATAGGTGGGTGGTCTGAGTGGAAGGAAGTGGTGAGGCAGGCCAAAGCCCTACGTGGGCTGTAGCCTCACAGCGATGGATGGATGGTCTGAGTGGAATCAGCATTAGTTCTAAGTTCTAAGTAACAAAGTAAAAAACACTATAATCATTCGTGAGAATGCTGGATTAATAATGACTAATCTGCGTTGTCAAGGGTATGAGAACCTCTGTTGTGATGTGTAGAGCATTGTTGTCATGTTTGATAGGGAAAAGATAAAGATTTTACGTGTAGCTGTATCGTTTGTGTGAGAGTGTTGTGACGTAATTGTGTAATGGGAAATGACGCGTTAGTTTTAGTTGTTGTTGAGAGAGGACAGAGATGGCCGTTGTGTGCTGTTCAAGGCTTAGCTTTCTATGTGTGATATTCAAGGCTTAGCTTTATATGTGTGCTGTTCAAGGCTTAGCCTTCTATATGTGCTGTTCAATGCTTAGCTTTCTATGTGTGCTGTTCAAGGCTTAGCTTT